GAGATATAAAGCGTCAAAGATTTAGCATTCTGGCCCCTTGTGATCCCTTATTATGTAACATATGATCAGAATCTTATCATATATTGTTGTAAATCGTTAAGATAAACATCTTTGCTTTAGTAATGTGTTACAAATTATTGATAGTTGAAGAGTTATAGATGAAAGACTTTTGGCCCTTCTATGCCCCTAATTTGAGGGGTCAGTCCCTTTTTCTTGACATCAAATGAAAAGTCTTGAGATTTTGAACATTTTTTGTTCAACAACTATTCAGAGATTTCTTTTCGTTGTGGAGATATGCTGAATGGAAATATTTAGGGGCCACCCCTCCAAGTCCTTAATGGGGCCGTTTGACAAAAATTGAAAGGGTGCATATTGTTTACAACATTATTCTGACCATCTTTTGTTCAGTATTGCTTATCAAAATATTTCCCCTTTTCGAGATATAAAGCATCAAAGATTTAGCATTCTGGCCCCTTGTGACCCCTTATTACGTAACATATGATCAGAATCTTATTATATATTGTTGTTAATTGTTAAGATAAACATTTTTGCTTCAGTAACGTATAACAAAATATTGATCGTTAAAGAGTTATAGATGAAAGACTTTTGGCCCCTCTGAGCCCCTAACTTGAGGGGTCAGCCCCTTTTTCTTGATATCAAATGAAAGCACTTATCATTCTGCACAACTTTTGTTATATATGTTTTAACAAAATATTTACAGGTATAAAGATATGATAGAAAACTTGTCAAATTTTGCGAGATGCTTGTGAGCCTATTTTTCGAGCCCAGGCGAGCTTTGGCGCCTTTTGTGCTGGAAAGATATGGACGCAAAAAAGCACATCTACAATCCCTCCTCTACCTTCACTGAGAATCTCACCTCAATATCTTTATTCGTTTTGGAGTGATTACCAGGACAAGCCGACCCTCTGAAAATCAGATAATTGTCTATATCTCACGACCGGAAGTGACGTCATCAATATAAAAAATTTCCAATAAGGTTCAGATCAATATCTATCAGATCTGAAAGTTTCATGAAAATCGACCAAGTCGTTTCCGAGAACTAGCGTGCACAAAATTGGTAAGAAAAAAAAAAAAAAAATAATAATAATAATAGGGAGAAAGAAACCGAACGAAAACAATAAGGTCTTCCGTTGGAGACGGAAGACCTTAACTAGAAACTCATTGCGAGCAATGAGAGGTCTTCCATCCGATTCTGAAAATAAAAACGCAAATGTGCTAACCATTAACCATTCACTTTTTTACATCACTTCCTTTCACGACCGGAAGTAACGGCGATGCAAGATTTTCTCACGTTTCAAATAAACTGATGACTGAATATCAGTCCTGAAAGTTTTAGTCCTCAGTCGTTTACTGTTGCCGAACAATATTGTGGGACTAAATTCTAATTTTGGGAACAGGTAAACACACAACCGGAAGCGAATTTTGTCAAAATCTCTGACTTTTTTCTAGAAATTTGCAGTATCTACAACATGCATAAAATCATTTCAGGTACTTCATCGATAAGCGATATTTATGAGAAAGTTAAATATAAGAATAACGTAGTTTATCTCCTAAAACCGGAAGTTGACGTTTTTGTTTCCGGTGGAATCTAACATATTTCAAAACAGCAAAAGAGATGCAATAAATTTAAAAAAGAAAAGTGAACATTTTTGATTTCTTTCATCACTTCCTGTGAGAAGCGGAAGTGACGACTGACGCATTTAACCCAAATGGTTTCACCTACCCCTCAACGTCCATTACTCTTAAAATTTTGGTGTTTTAATCTTTTACCTGTTTTTGAGATCTTGCTCTGACAACTTCTCATTTTGAGGACAGGAAAACACGCGACCGGAAGTGAATTTTTGAAAAAATATTTTAGGTTACTCTAGACATTTGCACTCTGAATAGCACATTTAAAATTCATTTCAAATACTTTATCTATAAAGAATATTTACGGGAAATTAAAAAACTCCAATTATTTAGTTTTTCTCTTCTAACCGGAAGTTGTCGTATTTGTTTCTGGTGAGACCAACATCTTTCGAATCTGCGAAAAAGATGCAATAAAGTGATGCAATTTTTAATTAAAAACAAAAAAGTTGAAATTTTCGTTTTCTTTGATCACTTCCTGTGACGACCGGAAGTGATGACTGACGCTCTTAATCCAAATGATTTTGCCAACATCTTAAGGTCTGTTGCACATAAAAGTTTGGTGTCATAATCTCTTACCGTTTCCGAGATCACACAACTTCTCATTTTGAGGACAGGAAAACACGCGACCGGAAGTGAATTTTACAAAGATATTTGACGTTACTCTAGACATTTTTAGTCTAAATAACATATTTAAAATTCATTTCAAATACTTTATCTACAAAAGATATTAATGGGAAAGAAAAATACTCAAATTATGTTTTTTTTCTCTTATAACCGGAAGTTGACATTTTTGTTTCCGGTGGGACCAACATATTTCGAAACTACAAAAGAGATCCAATAATGTGATGCAAGTATTGATTTAAAAAAAGGAAAGTTGAAATTTTACGATTTTTTTTATCACTTCCGTAGGCGACCGGAAGTGCCGACGACGAACGAATAGTAGCGACCCGGCTAGTACCTATCACGAACTATAATCCCTGAAAGTTTGACATTGATATCTCTTGTTGTTCTTGAGATTATCCGCGGACAAAATGTCATTTTGAAATCAGAAAATGGTCTGTAACTTGGCACCGGAAGGGAATTTCCAAAAAATCTCTCAGATAGATCAAGTTCATGTTACAAGACACTTTTCCTGAAAATTTCATGTAAATCCATCCAATAGTCTTCGAGAAATCGCGTGCACAAAATTAGAAAGTCAAAAAAATAAGAATAATAATAATAACTGTAAACTCATTGCAAGCAATGAGAGGTCTTCCGTCCGATTCTGAAAATAAAAACGAAAATTCAAGCTGAAAAAGAGATAAAAGAAATTCAGACACTCTGTAAATTTAACCCTTGTCGTCAGCGTGAAAATCCAAGTTGCTAACGTTAACCATTCATTTTTTACATCACTTCCGGTCACGACCGGAAGTACCAGAAGTAAAGGCTATACAAGATTTTCTCACGATTCATATAACTGATGACTGACCATCAGTCTTGAAAGTTTTAGACTTCAGTCGTTTACTGTTGCCGAGCAATATTGTGAGATCAAATTCTAATTTTGAGGACAGGTAAACAAGAGACCGGAAGTGAATTTTATAAAAATCTTTGACTTTTCTCTAGACATTTGCAATATATACAACATACATAAAGTCATTTCAAGTACTTTATCGATGAGCAATATTTATGAGAAAGTTAAATATCAAAGTAAAGTAGTTTATCTCCTAAAACCGGAAGTTGACGTTTTTGTTTCCGGTGGAATCTAACATATTTCTAAACAGCGAAAGAGATGCAATAAAGTGATGCAAGCATTAATTTAAAAAAGAAAAGTTAATTTTTTTTTAGATTTCTTTGATCACTTACTGTGACAAGCGGAAGTGACGACTGACGCGTTTAACCCAAATGGTTTTGCCTACTCCTCAAGGTCTATTACTTATAAAAGTTTGGTGTTTTAATCTTTTACCTAGTTTTGAGATCTCGCTCAGACAACTTCACATTTTGAGGACAGGAAAACATGCGACCGGAAGTGAATTTTTGAAAGATATTTACGATTACTCTAGACATTTGCAGTCTGAATAACATATTTAAAATTCATTTCAGATACTTTTTCTAGAAAAAAATATTGGTGGAAAAGTAAAATACTCAAATTATGTAGTTTTTCTCTTATAACCGGAAGTTGTCGCTTTTGTTTCCGGTGAGACCAAGATCTTTCGAATCTGCGAAAAAGATGCAATAAAGTGATGCAATTTTTAATTAAAAAAAGAAAAGTTGAAATTTTCGATTTCTTTGATCACTTCCTGTGACGACCGGAAGTGACGGCTGACGCTCTGAACCCAAATGGTTTTGCCTACATCTTAAGGTCTGTTGCTCATATAAGTTTGGTGTCTTAATCTCTCACCGTTTCCGAGATCTTGCTCAGACAACTTCTCATTTTGAGGACAGGAAAACACGCGACCGGAAGTGAATTTTACAAAGATATTTGATGTTACTCTAGATATCTGCAGTTTGAATAACATATTTAAAATTCATTTCAAAAACTTTATCTACAAAGGATGTTAATGGGAAAGAAAAATACTAAAATTATGTAGTTTTTCTCTTATAACCGGAAGTTGTCGTTTTTGTTTCCGGTGGGACCAACATATTTCGAAACTACAAAAGAGATGCAATAATGTGATGTAAATATTGATTTAAAAAAAGAAAGTTGAAATTTTATGATTTCTTTGATCACTTCCGTAAACGACCGGAAGTGCCGACGACGAACGAAAATGCGATTCCACAAATTTAGAAGTCACGTTCTATGCTCTCCAATAAGTCTCCAGTTCATATCTTTAGTCATTCTTGAGAACATTCGAGGACAAAATTTCATATTAAAATCAGGAAATTGCCCGTAACTTGGAACCAAAATGGAATTTTCCAAATTTTCCTTGTGATGAAACAAGTTCATACAATGACTAATTTTTCCTGAAAGTTTCACGAAAAACCACTGAATAGTTTTCGAGAAAACGCCTGCACAAAATTTGGTCAAAAAAATAATAATAATAATAATGATTATAATAATAAGAAACAGTAGAATCACTATAGGTCTTCCATTGAAAACAGAAGACCTAATAATAGGGAAAAAGAAACCGAACGAAAACAATAAGGTCTTCCATTGGAGACGGAAGACCTTAATAAATAAATAAAAGTTATCTTCATGATGGTGGATTTGAAAATATGCTGGTCATGAAAACAAGTGCTTTTGCATATCAATTAGACTAGCAGAATTACAATCACAGTAAAATCAATATAAATTTTGCTAGAAATACTTAGCAATTTCAAAGCATCATTTTTTTTAAGTCAAATTAATCATCCTTCTTCCCCCTTACTCCTACCTTGTGATATCGTAAACCATTAATGCCCCTGCAGCTCCACGATAGTAACTCCTTGTCACTGCTCGGAATCGCTCCTGTCCAGCCGTATCCCATATCTGTAACTTAATTTTCTGTCCAGAAACTTCTATAATTCTATAAAAAGAATTTTTTTTTATGCATTAAATGTAGCATTAGATACCCTTTGTACTTAACATTAGAATGCTGTGTTTTCAATAATTTTATTAACTGAAGTTTACCTTGTTCCAAATTCAACTCCTATAGTGTGAGGGCAGTCTGCCATAACTGTAATTACAAACATACATAATCAATTACACAGAGGCTCTAATTTTAAAGACTCTACTGAACTATTTCTTGCATTTTTTCTCAAACGTGTCAAATATTACAAAGCTTTATATATGCCTGAAAGAAAATCCATTGTTTTGATGACTGAAATCAGTAAAATCATGCTCAGTAATGTGAAATTTTTTCTGCATTAATTTATTTTACGATTTTTTTAGAGCACTGGACAATTTGGTTTGTATTACTAAAATACTTACTACTTAGTAGAACACTCAGAAATTATGTGGCACAAAGAATAAAATTAAAAAGAATATCACAAGTTCTTTTTCATCTTCCTTTCACTTTTAAATTATGTATTTTTCTTAATATTCCTATCAACTGTCCAATTTTGAACAGTAATGTTTGTTCTCAACTATATATCTCAAAATATAACTTTCAAGCATGGAAATATTTAAGAGGCCAGGTCAAACTTACTTAAGACCAGTGGCTAATTTCACAGGTTGATGCTTTGACTCTACTGGTGATAGTTTTTGGAAATAACTAAATTAACAAGACCAATGAAAACTTCTGGAGCCAGCATGTTAGATGTACCTTGTCTAAGACCAATAACAATACATGTGATAAAATACATAAAGAGCATGACACCACAGGCACCAAAAGCATGGATAATGTACGTTTCTGCATTATCCCCCCTCCCCCCCCCCCCCCCCCCCAAACAATTACCATAATATAATAAATGTGTGATTTCCCTATCAATTCCATCTTTATGTCATTCTTTTGCAATCAGTTTGTACTGTTTTTTAGTTTTGCAATGACGGGGTTGGGGTGTCCCGCTTTGAGATGTATTTCCAAGGTAATAACAGTGTTACCTTTCATATTTTAGCAAGTACTCTGTCAGGGAGATGTTCTCCATTGACAAAGATACAGGAGGTTCTGATGTGCACCAATCTGTTTTGCTTCATCTGATTAGTCAATAATTCAAACTGTAAACTGTCGACCAATCAGATGATGCAAACGAAGTGTAAACACCGTAAAACTTCCTGTATCACTGTCAATTCAGAAAATATGTATCTGTTTAATAAATTGTCCGATTATGGCACAGAAAACACTAAAAATGGGATTTACGTTAAAGAGACTAGTAGAAGAACATCTCCCTGACAGAGTGCTTGCAATTTTTTTCACTAATTGGGAAATTATTTTCAAGAAATAAACACTAATGATGAATAAATTTGAGCTTTTATTCAATCATTCAGTACTTTCAATCACAGAATAGAATATTGAACAAACTGTCATCAACAGAACGAGGCTTCCCTTAACTTTTTTTAATTCCATTAACCCATAACACACAGTTCATTTTTTGGGGAAAAGGGAGGGGTTTTGCAATAGGGAATGGGGCCTAAATTCGGCCCTACATGGGGCAGTGGAAAATCACTGCTACTGCTGAAGTACTTACATTTTTTCTCTGTAAATTGGTGTAGAAGGCAAGATTTTCCAACACCCATATCTCCGATGATGATGTATTTAAAAATATATGAGTAATTGTAGGGGCCAGCCGCCATGGTTACACTCCTTGACTCCTGTACCAGAAGGAGGAAGAAAATTAATGCAAGTGAAAACTCAATCACCACAAAAATAATACTGCAATACATACTTTTCTTTAGCATATCTCTTTATAACAGCACGTCATCTCAAGATATTATTTCTATTTTTAAGTGGACTTTCTTTCGTTGTCGCGAAACCGTTATTTGAATACGGTTTCGTCTAAACATTATAATCAGCTTCCAACGAAATTTCCTTTAGTTATACTTATGACGAAAGTTCATATTTTCTATCAATGTACATAACGTCTCTAGTGCATTGCAGTAATGAACAACTACTAAAATGTAAACAAGATAATGTGTCATGAAGGGGGTGGTCAAATATTCAGCTTGAGGATACAATTACTGTATGCTTAACAATCATAAATTGAGAGACCGAATTCAACCATAAATCTAAAATTTCAATGAAAAAGCATCTATTGTTCTGAGTGAATTTTCGTCTTTCCATATACCTCCTCTAGTATTCAGAATATTGATGTATAGACACTTTGTTGCGAATCAGCAATAGCAAGATGGCGGAATCTGTGTTTGTAGCGCCACCTAAGAACATTAAAATATTTTGTATTTTGATCCCGATATAAGTTAAACGCAAGGTGGGGGGGGGGGGGGCTTTAAAAAAATGGGTCACAGCTCAAGTCATAAAACTACTAAAAATGTTTTTAAAAATATATATAAGTAACTTAAATGTATTGAGTACATGTACCCACCCAACACAAATCAAGGAGCCTGTGGGCCACAACACTCACCAGATCTCAGACATTTGCCGGGATGTCAGTGTACTAATTATGAAAGCCTTCTTGATTTGTTTGTAAATTCAGCGCCGTACAGACTACACAAAATTCATATATGATTTTTTTTTGTATTTTAGGAAGAATATGATATTTATAACCAAAAATTTAATACGAACCTTTATCTAGCAAAGTGGGTCGGTTGGGAATGAACACAAATTTAATTTTGAACACAAACAACTAAATCATGGTTAAACAGAGAACCAACTTCTTGTGTGGACAATTGCGCGAATTCTTCTTGATTGGGGAGGAGTGAGAGTGGATGCTTTTTATTACTTTGCAGGGGCGGATCCAGGATTTCTTTTCCGAGTGGGGGGGTCCACAACAACTGTAACAAATGTCAGACTCGATCTTTTTTCTGATAAGAAAAAAAACTCTCAACTTGCCCAATCCTGAAAATCCTATCTTCGTGGGGGAAGGGGGGGGGGGGCAAAAACTTTTCTTAGTTTCTTAATTTTCTTCTTTATCATGATTCAGAAATGACTTTCCTTACCGTTTTAAGAGGGGTCTGTGTTTCCTGGGGCTCCAAGGTCATTTAGTTAGAAAGTTATTTAAAATTAATTTATTTAAGATTTATACTTCATTAGTTATAAAAAATATCCAAAATATGATGAATATTAAATCGATGATTGCAGTATTTGGACATTCTTGACTCTTTCAAGTGATTTTTCCAACAGGAAAGCTTATCTTTTATGATGATGGCCATTTTTCCATCTTTTTTACACGCATTGTTGTATCTGTGCTTCTGTTTCCCCCATTGGAGTTTCTGAGATACGGTATAAGGTCTCCAATGAGATTTCAATGTATAAGAAATACATTTTTAATGAATGTATTCCAAGAGAAAAAGAAAAATCCAACTTTGTATCATGAAGTAAAAGTTATATGTCTTCAGTAGTCAAGAGATGAAATTATATTTGAATTGCAGTGTAAATCATTGAATTTCAATTCCTCAGAAGTCTCTTCATTTCATTAATTAAAAATTTAATACAATTATGAGCATAACTTTTTTTGAAAAGAAGAAACTGGTACATAGATGATTATAGGTCAAAATAAATATTTCACCTTTTATCCCTGTACTTTTTCTGCATTTCTGGATTGTTTTTTGCAACGAAATTAGCTCGCATGTTTCTTTGTTTTCATCGCTTCAATGATGACAGAGTCTTAATTAACACTTTAATTATGTATCTTATATTTTTAAAAAAGATTAAAAAAAAAAAATAGTGCATGTAAGTACACATGGCACTGCAGTAGGGTGCCATAATATAGTATTGTTCTATGGTTTCCGCATATAAAAAATAATTGAATGATCTATTACCTGATATACTATAGTAAGTGGTATTCATCAAGGCCCCGTTTTACAACAGAACTTAAAGATCAAAATAAGTTTTTGCGAATTTTTGTCTACTTTACATTAATTTGAAATTCTTTATATTCAAAATTTTGAACTTTTTAAGATCTTGGAAATAAAACTTTAGAGAGAAATTCGTATCTAAAATATTGGTTAGGTACAAAAAGTGGAGGGGGCAGCCTTTCAATGAACATTTTCAACAGTAAAATATTATGTTCTGAAAAAAGAGGGCATCCCCCCCTCCCCCGATATACGTGCCTATTTATGTTTTAAGCATAATTTTCTTTCACGTTTTATCTTGGCCAAAAGACTTTCTTTTTCACAATAAAAATAATCATTTAGTACACAAGCAGATTTTTAAACACATTGAAATAAACCTATATTTACACACCGATAGTTACAACTTCTGAGAAGTTGCGAGTTATTTTTTCTCTGTTAATGCAAATTTAATTGGTATATTGCATCATGATATATAGTTACATAATTTATACACATGTTTATTCAGTCCTGTATATTTGTTATTATTTTAGTAACTTTGAAAATATGTAAATTACATAAAGTGCCTGCGTTTGGCAAATTTAATTAAACACAAGATTCTTTCTAGACTGGCAAATAACAAACGGGTTCTCTCCCTTAGATCTCTGAACAGTGTGAATAACGGTATAATAAATGATTCGAAAATAAAATAGCACTGAACATCAAAATTTATAACCCTACATTATTTTTTTCTCGATAAATGTAGAAAATGAATTTAAAAAACCCTTTAAGATCGTTTCTCAGTTGAGATCTCAACAAGACTATGGCATTCCATTAAACTTAGGAAAACTACAGTTACTGTAGGTGATGTAATCATTAATCTCTAAGTGATACATTGTCCGTAACTCTACATATATATATATATTTCGATATGGAAAAATACTTGGAACATATTTTTTTTTCCTTCTTTGCCAAATTTTCATTCTTAATGGTTAATCAGGATGCGACTGGTGTATGTGCATTAAGGTTGCACTTTTTGCTTTATTCTTACTAAAATGCACAATTTCGAGTAGGCAGTATCAACTGAAACTTTTGGATGCATTCATTTCCACAAGATCTTGTACAGCAATTTTTAAAATGAATATTAGAATAAAACCACACACACACACACATACATGGACATTCAGTAAGGGACGCGAGTTAGTTTCGGTCGGAGTCAAGCAGGTGCTTAAAACTCAATTGCAGAGCCCGATCGTCACCCCCTCAAATACAGCACATCAAACATTTAGTAAGTCCAAAACTTTCCTGACTCTAGTAAAATCAGAAAGTTTTTATATATTTTTTTTATCTCATCACAAGTCCTGTCCCTGTCTAAGCAGAAATACACTGTAGCAGAATCGAGAGGAAAGACTTTGGAATTATTTAACCTCGTCTTGTTTTGACGTGAACCTCAAACGAAATCGTTATGCCACCTAATAAGATACATCGGTAAACAAAGATTTTTATAAATATTTATTATTGAAAACTGAAAATATTCACAAATGAAACTCTTTTAATAAATGAAATTTGCGAAACGTTACACTTTCGTTTACTGTGGTGAAAATCTGTTTTTAATCCTATTCATATGTATAAATGATGTTGTCCTCATGTTAACGGTTTGTTTTACTTATAGAGATGTCTACAGCTTTAAAAACTCCATTTCCCCCCTGACTTTATATCTCCTCTACCATAAGATCTTAGGTTTCAAATTTGCAATTTTGATAATTACTCCGCAGGCGCGGATTTTCAGGCGGGACGCTCCCGGCGAGCGCACCCCCCCCCCAAATAAAATAAATGACATAAAATGAAATAAAAAATAAAATATATGTAAAATAATATATAGAAATAAAAATTCAGATATTGTTTTCACTGTCAAAAATCGTTATACCTTATAAATGTTAATTACTGTCCTTTGTGTAATTGCTGTTCTCAGGAGCTTATACTTTGCCCTCAGCCCCCATTATACGCTGTCTTTGACCCACTGGGGATCTCGGCGGTACGTACCCAGACCCCCGCCATCTAATAGCACCCCCTCTAACGCCAAGTCCTGGATCCACGCCTGCTCCATCTTATAGAGAAAGAAAACTTCTTGTATATTCTTTTAATATCGAATTTTCATCCAGATCTTTTATTACTTGACAGAATCACACCACACGTATACCACTATGTATCAAAAGTTTAATAGCCAAACTTTTTAAGCCTTGCAATTTAATTACATTACGGAAATATCTCGGAATTAATAATAATAATAATAAAAATTGTGCACACTATTTATTTGCCCAATCCTAGAAATGATAAAAAGAATCGAGATTACATCCATATTACACGACCAATATAGCATAGGACAAGTGTGATTGCCAATTTCCTACCCACAGTCACCTAATAATGAAGAAAACCAGCGAAGAAAGGCGGTAATATCTTTGTAATTGCAAGAACCTAAGGCACGGGTTTTTCATTAAGTAATTTATTTAGGTACCGTGTACAAAGGTCGCCAAAATGAAATAAAGCCGTCTCAGTGTTTAAACCCAATAGTTAATGAAATCAGGGATCTAATATCAACGGAAAAACCTACAATTACGTGTGTGAATAAATGTAGTGACATGTATTGCCTAGGTCGCGAGATTATTAAATCCGGCCATGAATAGAAATGTAATAAAATTGACAATAGGAAATGAAACACTCCGTTAATCAAATTATAGTTAATAAATACTAGGAGACCGATCGCGACTCTTTGTGTGTTGTACCCGTATCGTCGCCAGAATAATTGTATCTTGATTCTTCATATAAAAATATTAAAGAAAAATTTCTTCAGCAAAACATATTTATAATCTGGAAAGCGAGAACTCTGCCTTGCTAGCCCGCATCTTCCCTCGCAATCAACTGAGATGATCCTAGGAAGCATTTTCAATATCTTAATTACTTAAATCCAAAATTGACATCAAATAACAATTAATAATTGATTTTTTTTTTTTTGCATAGACACTTTGATTAATGGCCTCCACTTTTCCTTGATTGAAAAATCTAATTTTCTTGTCAAGATTCGAAAACACGATAATGTAATTCATTTAAGATAGAATATTCACAGAAATGTCTTATATCATGCGTTATCTTGCCTCTACTGACGGGGAGTCAATTTTGTAATTATGTTATTCTCATAATTATGACGAACGCTGATGATGGGAAGAAAAAGTTTATCAAGCACAGCATCAATCACATGATTAAGGCAACCTCGTACTTTTTGGCGAACCATGAGAATTTCGACCAGATTAGAAATTGACTTCTTTTCTTTGATTATTTTCCCATTTATTTTCTTAGAATACGTTTCGTTCCTTCAAAAAGATTGATCATTTCCAGATAAACAGACAAAATTTGATAAGGAAAAGTCCGACGTGATAT